TCACCTATCATGAAGTCCTTGCCCCCTAAGCTTCTCACCTAACCTTTTGGGATGTTGTCATTTTGATCCCACCTAGAATGTTCCTTAGAAACCAGGATGGCGAGACTTGGTCTCTCAAAATTCGGACATGTTATCAGGAGGGATTAGTCCCTGGACAAGGACATCATACTTGGTAAAATGGGGACAAGGAAGACAGCCCCCCACACAAGGTAGACTGTCACAGTGGCAGCAAAATAGGTTCACGGGTCACAGTAATTGTGAGGATGGTGCGGGACCTGGCTGCTTTCTTGTTGTAAGGAAAAGAAAGAGAAAAAGGAGAAGAGTCTTGGCTTCAACAGCAGGCAGGTTTATTGAGAGTAAGCCTGGGAGGGGGTACTCTTACATCCCCAAAGGAGACCAAGAGCCCGGCTGTTCCCTTACAGACTGGAGTATTTATAGTCCATGTGGTCTGGTTATAGTTCTGGCGAGTTTACAATGGGCAGGGGTATGGAGATTTTCCTGAAACCTCGAATTTCAGGGGAGGAGGGGCTCCAGGTGTAACAAAGACCCAAGCTTCCCGAGAGATCAGGAGATCGGAAGCTCAAGCTGGCCCACTCAGGGTCATTTGGAGTAGTTGCAATGCCATTCTGTTGATCAGGCAAGGAAGGTCCTTCAGTTGTTGTACACCTAACAACAGGCAACTCTTTGAAAGCACAATGTTCAAGTCAGACATAAATTACTAATTAAGTTGCACTGGAGGATAAGCGCTGGCCTGCTAACCACAGGTTGGCAGTTCAAACCCACCAGCTACTCCTCGGAAATCCTATATAGGGCTGCTCTAAATTAGAACCAACTTCATGGCACTTGACAACTGATCAGTACGGTTTTCATGGACTGACTTGGAAGTAGATCACCAGACCCTTCTTACTAGTGTGGTCTGGAGACTACTGAAAGTTCTCGACCATGGGTGCCACTGGTGGTATTTGAAATATCGGTGGAATAGCATACAGCATCATAGAAACAAACAGGCCAAAGTGACACTGAGGTCTGGCTCCTCCTGCTTGTGCAGCCTCATTTCCCACTCTCTTCTCACCTTACGGTGCTCTGGCAGTGTAGTGGTTATGAATCGGGCTGAGAGCCGCAAGGTCAGCAGTTCAAAACCACCAGCTGTTCTGTAGGAGAAAGATGAGGCTTTCTGCTCCCGTAAAGATTTACAGCCTCGGAAACCCTGTACAGGGTCGCTATGAGTCAGAACCGACTCCATGGCACATAACAACTTCTCACCTTGGAGTCCTGGTGTGGCGCTGTAGGTTAATGTGCCAGACTGCAAGGTTGGCGGTTCAAGTTCACCAGATGCTCCTGGGAAACGCTTTACAGGGTCACTATGGTTAGGAACCGACTTGATGGTACTTAACAACTTCTCACTCTTATGTGCTATTCCAAAATTCCTGTCATCTCCCAACACTCTCTGTGGCTACCTTTGAGACTTTGCTGACACTACTTGTTCAGGTCACCTTCACCTGATTCTCCTTTGCCTTTCTAACTTCTTCTGAGCCTCTCCTCCCAGAAAATGTTACTGGCCCCTTCAGGCTGCATCCCACTCTGAGTTAGGTATCCTTCTGTTATCCAAGTCTGCCTTTCATTTACTGAATTTCTGTGTTAGGATCCCCTGTTGAGTTTCTTTCTCCCACACTAGGGCGTGAGGTCCTCAAGAGTGAACACCATGGTAAGTCATTGCCAGGTCCTGGCACCAGGCCTGGCTGACACATGTGGTTGATATAAACTGTGGATGAAGGTGTGTAGTTGGTGGCGGTGAAGGGTTGACTGCGGTCTCACTCAAAGCTGGGAGCTATGATGCCTCCCTGCATTTCTTGGCCTCTGGGATGCAAATCTTGGGGGTGCCTGGGTTTGCATGGAAAGCAGGAAATAGCAGGATGGGAAAGAGGTCATGGCCCAGGGAAGGCTGGCCATTTGCCCTGACAGACTCAGTCCTGCTCAGCCCAGGCCAAACTGGAGCTGACCCTATGCCGACTTGAGGATCCTGTGGGCTTCTTTTTCCAGGTGTGTTTCTGGCTCTATTCTACCTGGGAAATTTATGTTGTGGGAGGAGGGAGGACATCACAGTGCAGATCCTCCTCTGGGCAACCTTGGGGGACAAATGGGCATCTCCCTCCCCCCAGCCCCAGTGAGCCTGGAGTCCCAAGGTAAAGTAACGAGAGGTGGGAACAGTAGGGGAGGTAGGATAGGTCCAGGGACCAACTGTTGGATAAAACTTGTCCTTGTCCTCTGAGTGTCGGCTGGTGATGGTGGGAGCTCCAGAAACTCCCTAACCCGGGGAGGTAGGAGGGAAGAGATTGATGTGGTCACTCTTTTCCAGGTCCTCGGGTAGGGTTGGAGTCACGCGTGTGTACCCAGGGCAAGGGGACAGGCTGGGAAGGGCCAGGCTCTACGAAGCGGACGTCCGCGAGCCCAGAGAGACCTCTAGTGGCCACCGTGGGAAGCAGGCGAGGAGGGCCCCGGAGCGGCGGGTCTAGGAAGGGCGGGCAGGCGCGCACTTCCTGCTAGGGCCCGGGGGCTGCCTGGTTTTGCAAAGGAAGTGTTGCCAGGACCGCAGGGGAGGGGGCAGGAAGTGGGGCGGACGCTCGAGCCAGGGTGAGGCCAATGGGCCTGAGAGACCGGAGTTGGGGCCGAGGGGGAAGGGTGAAGATGGGGGGGTTACCCGAGACCTAGTTCCCCTCCCCGTTTAGGGCCCTCACCAGCGTGAGGCCTAAGCCTGCCGTCCCATGGCTCCTGCGACCCTTTGGCCCCGAGCTCGCTTCGCGCTCTACCTCTCCGGCCAGCCCACGTCAGCTCAGTTCAAAAGTTCTTCTATTGGGAGCGCTCGGCTTCCCCAACTCTCCCACGCTCCCCACCTCGCCCTCGCGGGGCCTCCCCAGCCCCTCCCCGTCCGCCCGAAGGCAGACACCACACCCCCTCCTCGTCCCTAAACAGAGTCCCTGGGGCCTCCAGACACAGGCGTCCTCGGTTTAGTTATTGTGTTCCGGCATTTAAGCAGCGATCCCAAAGACAGAGTAGAACGGCTTCCATATGGTGCGATACTGTAGAGTAAACATTAGACTGCTAACTACAAAGTCAGCAGTTCAAACTCACCAGTGACTCCACAGCACTTACCAATTTTGATGGAAACATATTATCAAGTCTTTTTCCCACGGAGCTACTGGGTGGGTTTCAATAGAGGCGTTCTCAACCTCCAGGGGGGATGCCTCCATTTTGCAGACCAGGTAACTGAGGTTCAGCAAGTAAAAACTCTGCTTCTGACCCTACTTGGGTCACTCTTGAAGCCCCAAAGAGGCAGACCATCTCTGTTCCACTAACACCCACTTCAGTGAGATATTCACAGATTCAGCCCCACTCAACCCTGCCCCCCAATAATCACAGAGACAGGATTAGGGGGGTCTGGCTCTCTTTAGTTCTCAAACTGGGGCTTTGTCAGAGAAGGCACTTAAATGGACAGATCACCCACCTCAGCCAACCATCCTCCCCCTACCCCAACTCTCCATGGTGGGGAAACAAGGACCTCTCCACTTGCCACTCCTCTTGGCACTGGTATGAGTCCCCTTAACCGTTAAGGCCCTGGGAGAGCCCAAGGCTGAGACCTCCAAACACAGTATGCAGGAGGAAGGATTCCAGATACCAAGGCCAGAAGTCAGGGTGTCCTGGGATAGCCCCCAGCCAGCGGGGGTGAGCAGGCCAGGGGGATGAGAGGGTGGGGGTAGGGGTTTGGCATGCCGGAGGGGGGCAACTTGGCCAGACTTCTTGGATACCCCCAAGCCCTACAAGAAGGGCTCTATCCCCTGCAGATCCCCCAAAGGCACTGATGAAGTGTAGAATGGGTGGGGGAGGCACCCATTCGATGGTACAGAGACCTCCCTCCACTCTGATGGTGAGCTCAGTACAGTGTAGCACAGGTGCTCAATAAATGATTCTTCAATGAAGGAACAGAGCAAATGGGGTGTGAAAGACAGAGGACAGAATGGGGCCCTTGGGCCCAGCTTGTTTCAGTCAGAAAAATAGCAATTTAAAAATTGTAAAAATCCTTTTCCTCCCTCGCCCACAATTTATGGGTCCAGGAAAGGGATGAGGGAGGGGCGTCTCTGCCCCAACCCCTCCATCTCCCCTCCCCTCAAAATCTATATACACATATACATATTTATATGACACCACACTGGGGTCCTGGCTAGACCCCACTCATAGCTAGGGGAGACAAGTCGCAGGTCACAGGTGGTTAAGGCATATGTGAAGGGCCAGGTTTGGGTGATGGGAGCAGCCCTCAACCCTGGAGAAGCTGGACTCTGAGGTCTTAAGGCTAGATCTTGCTACCTTCATAGGTGGTAACAGATCATCTCCCCTCCCTGGCAAAGATTGATGGAATATTATCAGTCTTCAGGGAGGCCATGGGAACCTGGATTGCAGTGTGCTACATACAGGAGGCTCTAGGAAAGAGGAGCTGCCCAGGATGGTGCCCCTGAAAAAGCTGGGTAGAGCAGAGGGGCTCTATGCAAGGCACTTGTGTCCACTGTTCCCAGGTTGTGGTCCAAGGCATGGGCAGCAGGAAACATGCCCCCCAACAAAGCACAACTGGAAGGGGCCCAGGGGCCCAATTTGGCAGCACATGGAGGAGAGAAACACAGAGAGGGAGAGAGGGAGAGAGGGAGAGAGGGAGAAGAGAGGGAGAGAGGGAGAGAGGGAGCGGCTCACAGGGCCCCAGCAGGCCTCCCAAGAAGGCACAGTGGGGTTTAAGGCACTGACACGGGGACCCCAGGGCTCATCACCCTTAGTGCCACCTGCTGCCCTCTCTGTAGCTGGGCCAGGCTGCTGGGGGAGGCACTTGCTCAGTGCCTCCCCCTAGCACTGAGTGGGGCAACTCATGGGTTTGCTTAAGGAGCAGTGGGCACCGCCAAGTCCGAGCGTGAGGAGGTGTGGGCAGTGGTCGGGGCTCATCCTAGCCCCCTCCAGCCTCACTAGCTCCCAGGCCGAGGCTGCCTGAGCACCGAGTATACATCGTCCACGCGGCTGAGTTGCTCGAAGAAGGGGAGGAGGTCGTGAAGCTCCGTGTCACTCATATTGTCAAACCACGAGGCCACTGGTACCTGGGCAGATGAAGATGGAGCAGTGAGGGGGGTACCTGTGGCCTGGGGCACAGAACGTCCAAGCCAGTCCTCAGCACCTACTTGGGTGCTGGCAGCCCCACCCCAGAAGGCTGGCTCCCCTCACCCATGGTTTTCAAACTTTTTGACAGCACATTCAGAGTGAAGCAAGTTTCTTAAACAATGCTTCCCCTGGTTGTGTACAAATCACCCCAATGTTTTCTGTTCTATACGGGGGCTTCCAAAAGGTCATGGAAAAACAAACTGAAAAGATAAGAGAAGCCACAGTTGACAGTATGGAAGATTGAAACTGTTCCCGTGCCTAGTATGGGCTCAAGCCCTAGGTGGGAAACTTCTACACATGAAGTACCTCTTGGAGGGTGTAAACAGAGGCAGGAAGCTGAGGCCTGGGAGAAGGGCCCAGGGCCTGGATGCTGCCCAGTTTGGCCCTTTTCTTGGGTCTCAGTGTGTCCAGTGGCACTCACAGCATTGTCCGGGTGGAAGACATATGAAGCGGGCGAGTTGTCGAGGATAAGCACCCGCCGCAGGTCTCGGCCCAGCCGGCTCAGGTCCTTCACATAGTTTCCCCGGTGGAAGACGCATGACTCACGAAATAGCCGGGCCCGGAAGGCCCCCCACTTATCTAGCAGATCAGCTACTGGGTCTGCATACTAGGGGCAAAAGGAGGTGGGTCATCCTGTGGTCACCAGGGTACACTGGGGGTGGGTGGAAGGATTCTTTGGGAGGGTGGGCACTCACCTTGGCGAGGCTGGCAGTGAACAGCACGCATTCAAAGAGCTCACCCATTCGTTGCAGGAACTCGTCAACATGGGGCCGCTTTAACACGTAGACCTAAGGGGTGGGCCAGTGAGGGGACTGCAGGGAAGCCACAGGGGGCTGGCTGAGGATTAGGAGGGGAGTGGGTAGGAGGAGATGGAGGGACATAGGAGGAGACTGATCCTAGAGCCTACAGACGCAACTTAGCCGGTCATTCCAATTGTCTCTGGGGATATCATCCACCCTCCCAAAAGATCAAAATGAACTTCTGGCTCTTGGCTGGTTCCAGCCCCTCCTCAGGGAAATCACTAATTCTGAGTCCCTTAGCTAAATGAGGGTGGCCCCCTCACCATAGGGCTGCAGGGCACCGGCCCCCAAGCCAAGTAATGGAGAACAGGCTGGACAAACACACAACCTATCCTGAATTACTTGAACTGGGTCCCGGGCAGGGTGAGGCAAGGGGGCATGGTGAGGGGGTCAGGAAGAGGAACCCCCACATTGCAGGTCCAGGAGTCCAGCAAGTTCCTGAGGAACTGTGTGGCCTTGAACAAGTCTCACACTCTCTCTGGTCCTCTGACTTTCAGAGAGCTATCAAAGAAAGCCCCATCCCAGGGCTCTCAGGATAGGTAGGAGGAGCCTGAAGTCTAGAAGACGGTGCCTAGCCCATTTGACTCCTCTGCTGCCCCTCACCTGGTGAATCACCCCATCAATTTCCACAGGGATGATGAAGTCTGCATTGTTCACTGGCTGTGGAAGAAAAGAGAGGCTGCAACTGGGCCTGGAGCCTAAGGGGTCATAGTCCAGCCTAGGCCCCCTCCCAGGTCAAGACTAAGACCCTGGGCAGAAGGCTGCTGGGCAGGGCCCACCTTGAAGGAGCTGTGCACCAGGGTTTCGTCCAGGTCAATGACCACGCAGATCTTGTCTGAGTCCTGGGCCTTGGCCTCGGGGAGCAGGTACTGGACAGGGGTGTGCTATGGAGAGGCACAGGGCTGGCTGAGGTACCCCTTGAAAACCCCAATCATTTCTTCATTGTTTTTCCCCCCACCATCCCTCTTCCTGAGGAGTCACAGGGGCAGTGGGGAGAGATCACCTCCTCCCCAGCGTTACTTCTGCCAACTATGGAACGTGGGCCTCACTTCCCCACCTGTAAGACCAAGGTAAAGGGAAGATTCCTAAACGGAAAGGATTCAGGTGTCCCCTAGTTAAGGTGCCTTCACTGGGTAGCAGTCTTGAGGTGGACAACCAGTCTTGGACCTGGTGGGGAGACTCCCACCCTCCTTCTCTGTATCTCACAGGGCCTTTGGGCAGACACTGAAATACATGACCAGGAGTCCTAATCCCACATACCTTGGGGACAGCGCCATTCTCCTCCACAAGCAGGGGTGCCCCGCTGTGGGTGGGCAGAGCCTCGGCATCATCACGGCACACACAGCAGAAGAGTGAGTGGAGGATCCCCCTACTACGGGGCTTCTGGGAAGCCGTTGACTTGTGGTCACCTGAAGCAGGGAGGCCCAAGGTGGGGGTGTGCACACTAGCCTGAAAAGGCTGGAATGAACCTGGTCACGCTGCTTCATCAAGGTGCTGGGACCTCCCTAAACTGCCCAAGCCAGGGTCCCAACCATTATTTGTTCCAGGCCACCCTACAGACCCCCATACTTAGATTGGCACAAACACACCTGTACTATGTATGGCGTGAGCTGGCAGGGGTGGGGGTTGAGGTGGGGTGGGGGTGTTTGCTGTTTTTTTTCTCAGTCGCAAATAAAATGCTACTTAAAGATTCAACCTATAGGGCATGCCTTCTGTCACCTAGCCCCACCTACCTGAGCCAACCATGCTCAACAGGTCTCCTGCCAAGGAGGGCTGGAGTGGAGAGTAGGGGAATTGTCACTCATTCCCACCTTCCTCTCATCTTCTTCACTACTGACCCCATGAATCCAAAGTCCCCTCTAAGGCTAGGTCCAAAGGTAGGTGGTGGGGGCTTCCATGAAGCAGTTAAGCAGCTATGGGCCAGAAAGTATGTGGGGGCCATCTGTAGACCCTGCCTTGTCCACCCCACTAGGATCTCTGACCTGGAGTGAATGATTGACAGACCTACTCTCTACAACCCCCTGGGGGGCGGGTCAGGGGAGGGGACTGCCACTGAGCAGGGCAAGGTCCAGGCAGAAGGTGGGCAGACTGGGTAGGGGTGGGGTACAGACTTTCAAACTGCTAAAGTCAACACCAAGCCAGGGACAGGCAGAGCCCCAAGCCAGGCCAGCCATACCCCAGGGCCTAGGCTATGCAGAGCAGCTGCCTGGGTCCGTACATGTGTGCACAGGCCCTGCACCCAAGGGTCTGCAGCTGGGACACAGTGTGCCCGGTCCAGTGCTCGACCCCTCATTAGGAGCCCAAGGTTAGCACTGGTGCTCGAGAGGTTCAGGGATCTCCCCCGCCCCGTACGACACGGAAGTTTGTGTGGAGCCCCACTGTGTATTGGCGGGAGATCCTTCCAACCCTCTGGACCCCACTGTCACCTCCGAGCCCCCTTCCCCGAAGCGACCAGGGCCCAGTGGGGGCGGAGTCTCAGAGGGTGGCCTGAAGGCGCGCTCTTCAACCCCCCCACCTCCCAGCCCCAATGGCGCCAACAGGGGGTGGGGGTGGGGGAGGGAGGGCTGGACACCCAGGCACCGTGCACAGCCTGCCAGAGAAATCCCGAAAGAGTCCTTTCTCACTACCCTGCCTCAGTTTCTCCACCCCTGGAAAACGCAAACAACCAAAGGGAGCGGAGGCCCCGCCCCACGTCTCTGAGCCTCCGCAAATTCTTACTCTCTCCTCGCTCCTTCTCGGGCTGGGAGTTCCCGTAGGGATCCGGTTGGACCAAAGGGGGCGCCGGTGGCAGCCCGTGGAGGATCCCAGCCCCCTCCTCCCTCCGGTGGTGCCCGGCTCCAGACCCCGTCCAAGACCCCCTGTACCTTTGCCCCGCAGCGGGCCCCGTGCCTCCTCCTTGCTGATCTGAGTAATGACGGCCGAGCTGTCCATGGGGCCGGGCGCGCTCCGCTCCGGCCGGACTCTGGCCCGGGCGCCCGGCCTCCCCCCCGGCTCGGGCCGGAATCGGGGCGCGGGGGGGAGGGGAGGGGTGGGAGGGAGGGATCCCCGCGAGCTTCAGAGGGGAGGGGAGCTAGGCTCAAGGGGGGAGGGGGAGGGAGGGGGCGCGGAGGAAACTTTGTTACAACATGGAGTTTCCTCCCCGCGAGGCGGATGCAAACATGGAACCCGGGCGCCGTTTCAAGGCTCCCCCTTAAAAGGGCAACGGCTTCGTCGTGACCTGGACTCAGCCGCCGCTTTCATCACTTCTGGGGCCGGCGCAGCTAGGCGAGCGGTGGGGCGGACCCGACTGGGTTCTTGCCGCGCTCCAGGGGGCGTCGCCTCCTTTCCTGCTGCCCGCCCGCTAACGGGGGGAGGGGGCCTAGCTTCTGCGGCTGCGTGGCAAGGCCGGGGCCGGCCCACTGTTCCAGGCCGCTGAGCAGCCAGGACCAGGGTCCGCCCCGCCCTCATCGCCCACGCCCGGTGAGGATGTTGTGGCCCCACCTCTGCGCATTCCGAGGGTCGGAGACCGGCAGCTTCTCAGTTTTCTCATCCTGGGAAATGGGGATGGTGCGAACTCATCTGTAAGATGGGTCATCTTTTTTAGTCAGGTGGTAGAAAGGAAAGCGTGAGCGCGAGGAAGCTTTTTGCTAACTCCAAATGGGACTTTTTTTTTTTTTTAATTTAACTAGACTGATCCTCACCCCCACTGTAATCTCGGGGGCGAGGTGATTCAAGTCTGGCGAGGTCATTCAAGTCTGCCCCAGGTCGTCCTCTGCTGAACTTCTTCTGGACCCCCGCACACCCTACCCTTGTGTTCACGCGGATCACCTCGCGTTCTTGCGAGCAGAAGCCGAGCGCTTTGCTGCCTCTGGGTCCTCTTGGGCACTGTTCCCTTCGCCATCGACCTCGATGAAATGCCACTTAGTCCAAGAGGTCTTCCCAGGTCCCGCTCTCCCCACACCTCCCGAGCCCTCACTCGCTGGCTCTCTGCGATTATGAGGGTTGGAGGGAGCACTGTGACTCCTGGGACTCGCTTGTGTTCCTACGGACCCTGCACACAGTAGGAGAGTTCATCATTGCTGGCCACATGCCCGGCCTTGGTGGAACCTCAAGCGCCAACGGCTCCACTACGGATTTGAAATACCAGGGCCCAGCCTGGTATGTTGGGGGGGCTACCCCGACCTGAAGGGGCTTGGTGTTCCAAGCGGTAACTCCTCCGCGCCATGTGCGGTGGGGGGAGGGGGGTGTTCCTTTCCTTTCATCATTACTATCCTGTATTTGTTATTTTGAAAACGGGGTCCTAGTGTGGCGCTGTAGGATAAACACTGGACTGCTAACCGCAAGGTCGGCGATTCAGCCGCTCCTCGGAAACCTAATATCCAAGGTCGCTGAGTCGGAAACAACTGGCGGCTCTTAACAATTCAAAAAATAACCCTGAAACTCAGCTTTGAGAAACACGCCCCAGCACTTCCTTTCTTTCCTGCCTACCCACAAAACCGACACGTCCAGTCCCATCTACGCCCGGAGGGAGCGCGGCGCACGTCTGCCAGGTCGGCGGACCCGGAGGGGTGTAGGGCTGGGACTCCCACGCGGGTCCCCTCCTGCATTACTGCACCCGCTTGGCGCCTTCGTTGCGCTTCACTCGACTGACCACTTGTTAGCGTGCAGCGAGCCCTTCGCCTGACAGAGGTTTCGCCCGTCTAACAGACAAGGAAACTGAGCTCAGAGAAGTGGCTGGCCTAGGCCCACCAACGAGGGACAGAGGCGCGACTCTAGCCGTAGGGCTGAGCTCCCTCTCTTCTGGCTGGCCCTGGGGCAGAGCGCCGCTTTGTCTGTGGACGCCCGGGCCACACTAACTCCGAAAGTTGAGTCTACCGGCCGAATGAGCCCCTGGCCTGAGCTCGCTTCCCTCTTGTAGGCGTCCCAATCTCCAGCTGTGAGCGGGAAACTGGCCCTTGTATCCTGTGAGGATCAGAGGAGCTGACAAGAATGGAGTACTGAGCAGGGTCGGGCCGCTGTCCCCCTCCCAGTTCCCCAAATTGGCCCACCCCGACCTCATAGGATTCCTCACCTCCCGCCCCCAACACATGCCTATTGTCACCTTCAAGTCTTTGGAAATGCAGATCAAGGCCGAGCGGTGGAGCAACTTCAGTCTTGACTTTGATACCTTCCTAAGGCCTGGGTGGGGGTAGTTCCAGAGTTGAATCAGAAGCTTCCCTGCAGCACAGGTTCTGAAGGATTTTGTGGGGAGAGAGGAGCTGGTGGAAGTGGTCTGCAGGGTGGGGAGGAGCAGTGCTTTGGGTTTCCACACTGAGCCGGGGGTCCATATTCAGTTCCTATCCCCTCTTTCCCAGCAACGTATTAAGTGCCATCGAGTCAGTTCTGACTCATAGGACCTTGTATAGGGTTTGCGAGGGGGTTGAATTTTTATTCTACAGAACCACACCAGGACTCTTAAGTGTCACTTTACAACTAAGCAATTAAGTGTCCCTTTATCTACACAATTATTTTAATCTGTTTCATATTTGCATCCCCAGGAGGAGGAAAACTAGGGTGCCTGAATCTATCTGGCTACCGTGGACAAATGTCTTTTCCATTCAGCACCTTAACTTCCCCATCTGCCAAATAGGGTAGGTAAGAACCCATTCCCAAGGGAGAAGCAGGGAACTCTGCAGAAAGACTGGCATCAGTACCAGGGCCATCCCCAATCTGGAAGGCTACTGGGAGCATCTGGAAGGGAAACTGAGCAACTTCTAAGTTAGATCTGAGTCTGGTGGCCTGGGAGGGCCTGAGTGCATTAACCACCGCTTGGATCTTTAGCTAGCCTTCTGGGCCCCTCACCAGTCCTAGGTTAACAGGTCTAGGACCAACCTACCTTTGTTGCCAAGTTGCTGTGGAGTCGGTTTCGACTCCCCTACATAGGTTTTCTAATGCTTTAAATTAAAAAAAAAAAAAAAAAGTGGGAGCACAAAGCCTCATGTTTTTCCCCCATGGAGCAGCTGCTGGGTTAGAACTGTCAACACTGCAGTTTGTAGTCTAGTGCGTATTCGACAGAACTGTAGCACTAGCATGCCTTTTTAGGTTCCTTATTACCTGCCCCAACCCCATCCACAATAATCTAAGTACTCCCCACAAGGTGTCTTGTTTCTACCATTTTGCACACCAGATCCCATTCCAGACAGACTTGACCACTACCTGATTTCCTCCCCCCACCCCCAATTCCCAAATAATTTTCAAAATCTGCGCTGTGGGTTAATGCGCTGGACTGCAAAGCCGGTTTGAACCGCAACTACCAAGGAGCTGGAGTCCTGGTGTGGCGCTGCAGGATAATGTGCTGGGCCGTAAGGTCAGTTTGAAACTAAAGGTCGGCGGTTCAAACCCACCAGCCATTCTTTGGAAACCCTATGGGTTTCTATGGGTCGGAACCGATTCGATAACAACCAAGGAGCCATTGTCCCTTTGCACCCTTCTACTCTGTCCCATCCCACTTTACAGAGTTTTGTTGTCATTGTTTATCTGTCTCTGCATTGGAACCAGCTACTAGAGAGCTGCCAATCGCCTTTACTTCAGGCTGTTCTCTCTCCTTCCGTCTTGCTTAGCGGAGGGACCTGAGAGGTGCGCAGGGTGTACATCAGGACCCTTCCAGGGAGCTGGCCAGAGGTCTGGGAGATGCCTTTTTATACTATCCCTTTCCCCCTCATCCATCCCTTTCGTCTGCGCACGTGGGCCCCATCCTCTGCAGGAACAAGCTAGTAGAACGACGCTTCTGCTCTGGTACTCTTTACCGCCGCTGCCCGGAGGGAGCCAGACCAGTCACATCCCTTCCCTCCATGAGGGCCCCACTAGCACCGTCGCCCTTTTAAGAAAGAGGAAATTCTTCTCATAAACAAGCGCCCCAACCTGAAAAAAGCCACGCCGCCTGCCCCACCGGGTCCCCGAGAATTCAGGGGTTAGTTCTAGGCAGCGTCTGCCCCGAGCTCCACACGGGAAGGACCAGAGGCCCTTCCAAGTACTGTCTCTCAGAAGCTGGGCGGCTAGGTCTTGAGGGACAGGAGGAGGAATCTAGGGGAGCCTAGAAACGGCCCAGGGAGTGTCTGTAAAGAGCAGCCCCTTCTCTGGGCGAAGGGGCGTCTGGCGGCTCCTAGGGGAAGAGTGGGTAGCCCGCCCACATTGCTTTCTCCTTCCTTTCTTCCGGGGCGGATTCCTGCACCCCGGGGCACTTAGACCACAGCATCCGCCCCTCCCGAAGGTTGAGGCGGAAGCTGGGAGTGCCCGCGTTCGGGACCTTCCCTGCCCCTAGGGGGAGCTGGGAGTCAGCGCCCTGGGAGCGTTAACAGCTTCGCGTGGGAGTCCCGGCCGTATGGTCCCCTGGGGAAACGGCAAATGAATTGGACCTGGGAGGCACGGACTCTTGGGTTCTTTATGAGCTGGTGCTCGCTGAGAGGAGAACCGAACCTCCACTTTGCTACTTGGAAAATGAGTTGCGGACAGGACAGAAGGCTGAGGCCACCCAGCTGAGAGCGGAACAAGGCCGACTGAGTAGAGGGAGGGGATGGAGCCCCCTCTCTGCCTTCTGTTTCTCTTTTTTGTACTAAGATTTGTTTAGTATTCACCAGACTCTTTCTCTAACGTGCCAGTTTGGAGCTTGTGTCCTGCCCCTTACTGGGTAGGTTTGTCGGAGTCACTTCTTGTTAAGTGCCGAGTCTCTGAGCAGCTGCTGGTTTGAATCTCCGACCTTGTGGTTCGAAGTTCTTATCCTACAGCGCTACACCAGGGCTCCTGGGTCACCATTAGAGATGCACAATAAATATTTTTGAATGCTTTAAAAACAACAACAAAAACAACAACAACAATGCCAGACATTATGCTGAATTGCAAAATGTTTGTTGTTCCCATTTTACAGATGACGACAGTGAAACCCGGAGTTAATCACTTGTTCAGGCTAGGAAGCTTCAGGTCCTGTTGTCATGGATCCCTGGTGGGCCTGCCTCCAATACTTTGTACTCCATCTTTCCATCTTGCTGTCTCCATGCCCCTGCTACCCTGTCCAGTAGGCCAGATGTCTGCCCCAGTGGGGGCTTATCCAGATACCCTTCCCATCTGCTCCTCTTCAGGAAGCCCATACAGGAAGTGCTGGTGGGAGCTGTGAGCCAGGAAGACAGCTCCATGGGCGATGCAACAGGTCCAGACCTGGGGGAGGAGGTGGCCATGAGTGGGACAGGGATATCTGGAGAAGCCCCCATTCGTTGCTCCCACGTCCCTTCTGTTGCCTCCTCTCCTAGCTTCCCCGATGCCCAAGGCATTGTCCTTTTGGCCCCACAATACCAAGTAGATGGTAAGTCCCAGGTACGCTACTGCCAGCAGAGCTACAAGACCAAAGTAGGCAGGGTAGGGGAGATCCGGCAGGTATGTGACCACGAAATACAGGTTGATAGCACAGACCAGGAACATGATGGATGAAGTGATGATCTTGCTCAGGCTAGGGAATAGAAGGGAGTCAATCCTGTTTGAATGCAGTTAGACCACCCACCTCTCCACCACTTCCTCCGCCAGTGCTCTTAGGCAGTTCAGAGCTCTGAGGAGGGGAACGCAGACCCATAGCAACTGGTACATTGGGTTTCCAAGGCTGTAAATCTTTACTGGAGCAGAAAGCCTCAGAGATATTCAAAGCCTGATTTGCTGACCTGTGAAGCCTGGAGCAGACCCCCAACTCACGTCCACCCCTGGGGTCCTCTACAAACAGCACACACAAACACACACAGTCCTTCAATCTCTCAGAGCCTCAATCTCCCCACATAAATAATACTGTAACGGTGGTGGTGTTTGGGGTTAAATGCCTGTCCAGTAGTTCAGATTCTTAGTGACCTTGTGCTGGGGGGGGGGGGGGGGGGGGGGGGGGGGGGGGGGGGGGGGGGGGGGGGGGGGGGGGGGGGGGGGGGGGGGGGGGGGGGGGCTATTTCTGCCAAGGGACATTTGGATATTTATAACATCACTGTATATAAATTTATGTTGTTATGGAAAAAGCTCTCAGATTTATTGAATTTCACTTCCCTCCTGTAGTTGCCTTGGCAGGGTCAGACCAGATGATTTGGAGGGCTTATATAAGGCCCATGGGCTAGACATTTCCCACCCCTGCATAGGGTTTCCAAGGAGTGGCTGGTGAGTTTGAACCACCGACCTTGCAGTGTTAGTTTAACAGCGTCACACCAAGACTCCACCTCATTGTTGTTGTTATTGTTAAGTGCTGTCGAGTCAATGCTGACTCATATGGACCCTGTATAGGATTTCTGAGGCTTTTCAAATCTTTTCTGGAGCAGAAAGCCTCATATTTTTCCTGCGGAGCTGCTAGTGGGCTCAAACTACCAACCTTGTGATTCGCAGTCCAGTTCTTATCTTACGTGTGGTAGTGAGAATGTTGTTGTTGTTAAGTGCCATCAAGTCGGTTCCGACCCATAGCGACCCTGAATAGGATTTCTGAGGCTGTAAACCTTTACGGGAGCAGAAATCCTCATCTTTCTCCTGTGGAGCAGCTGGTAGTTTCAAACTGCAGCCTGATTCGTAACCACTACACTACCTGAGCTCCCAGAGAATAGGCACTGGAAAAAGTGGTAATGCACATCCAATACTTGGCATAGCCAATACTCACCGGCCGTTGGCAAACTCGTGCATGAGGGCGGGCATGCTGGTGAATGTGAGGATAGGGAGTACAGCAAAGGGGAGCTGAGGAGAGCACAGAAGACAGGCTCAGGTGCCTGTCCTCAGATTATAGTGTGGGACTCCAAGCCTCCTCACCCCCCCTAAGGGGAGCACTTCAGCAAGCCCCTTAACCACCCTCACCTCAGTTTCCCCATCTCAGTGTAGTCCAAAGTTGTGAGGCTCCAACAAAGCAGATAAAAGGGTTTGGGGGCTCTGGCACAAGCGGCCTGAATTTACATTTCAGCCCTGTCACTTAGGTAGTCTGTCAATTTCCCCATCTGTAAAATGGGCGCAAGGGTGATTCTGCCCTCTCAGGACGATTGTGGGGATTACAGGAGCCGTGGAAGCCTCAGTGGGGGATTGCTGAGATGCCTATGTAGCTCAAGAACAACGGGGCTCACCAGCAGGCTCTGCAGCACGTTAAGGAAGTCGTTGAGGACTGACAGGTCCCTCAGGTCCCGGAAGACAGCCACAAGCACAGTGGGCAGGATGGCGCAGGAGCGGGTGAGGAGGACACGCGCAAAGCGGGACCATCGCAACCTCAGGAAGCCCTGGGTATAAGTGAACGTCTTGGGATGTGTGTGTGTGTGTGTAGGTAGGTGGGTAGGTGGGTGGCTCTGGATATTCCAGAAGAGAAACTTTCTGGTGCTCCTCATGCCTCTGGGGACCCCTCTGTTTTTCTGCCTGTGAAGTGGGGACACAGTTCTGTTCCTAGTTGGTGGAAAGGGGATGGATGGAGTGGGATAATGGGGCTTCTCCCCCACGACTGACAGTTGAAGAGAAAACAGCTTTGCAAAAAAGGCTCTTGCTGGTCCCCTTATTTCTCTGAACCTCAGTTTCTCATCTGTCAAGTTTATAATGGCAGCCTCGGGCCCAGGAAGGCTCGCGCTGACGCCCCCCTGTGAGACTTGTCCTTTGACTCCGCCCGCCCTTGTTCCCACCTCCATCACGAACTGTCCCGCGTAGGTGCCCGTCATGGTGGAGCTCTGCCCCGCAGCCAGCAGACCCACCGCCCAGATGTAGAGGGCTGCGGGCCCAAAGAGGCAGCCCAGGATCACGCCCTGGAGGGAGGAGGGTGGTCTGACCCGGTGCCCCACCTCGCCCCATCCCAGAGCAGGCTCCGCCTCTGGTGGGTGGGCCGAGGAGCCTAGGGGCTTCTAACTCTTCCCCGCCACCGTGCCCAGTGCTCACTCCTCGGTAGATGTCCACATCCGCGGTACCGTTGTTCTGAGGGAAGATCTCGGCATAGCGGTGGAGGCTGCTGTTGGCACAGATGTTGAACTGCGGCCACCGAGATAGGAGGAGAGAAATGTGAAGCGCAGTCAGTCGTGGGCAATCAGACCTCAAAGCCTTTTTAGAGTGCTCGAAGCCAGTGAACTAACTTTGCCCAAATAGATTTTCTTTTTTTTTTCGAAAAAAATTACATTTTTATTTAAACACACAACACATTTACAGCATGCAGGTTAACTTAAAATGATATGGCGTCTTCCCCAAACCAATTATTTTTTAATGTGTCTTCAAGCACTGAAAATAAGCAGCATATTCCACAGGTAGACTCAGACTCTTTGCTGTCATCTCGTCAAATTGAGTTATGCACAGTAGTTAGTATTCTTAAGTTAGGCAAATAATTTAATTGATCACCATGAATAAATACTACTTTTATTTCACTTTCTCTTTTGAATCATTTACCATTTCAGAGGAACATAAATATATCTAGTCAAAAAAGAAAAGACTTTGCTAAATGAAGTATAAATGTTCTATATGATCAGAACCAAATAGATTTTGACTATTATATATATATATATATAGTTAAGGAGCTCTGGTTGCATAGTGGCTACGAGTCGGGCTAACCTCAAGGTCAGCAGTTCGAAACTACAAACCGTTCTGCGGTAGAAAGATGAGGCTTTCTGTTCCTGTAAAGATTTACAGCCTCGGAAACTCTATACAGGGCAATGAGTCGGAACCGACTCCATGGCACAGTACCACCACCACCATATATTGTTTAGTGTTGTCGAGTCAGTTCCGGCTCATAGCAACCTTGTATAGGGTTTCTGAGGAGCGACTGGTGGATTTGAACCGTCGACCTTGCAGTTCAAACCAACACTGTAGTAGAGTGCTTATCCTACAGCACCACACCAGGAGTCTATATATATA